GAAAAGAAATTTATATTCACAATTGGAAAGCTATAAAGACGGAAATTCTGCGTAAGACCCGTTACGTAAATTGGGAAAGTTTCGGTTCAAAAGAGGGAGAAAACACAAGATGGATGTTTCAAGTCGCCGATTCTGAATCCACACGTGATTCATTGCGAATTTCTCTAGTGTATGATTGTAAAAAAAAATAATTAATTTCGCATTGTAGCTGACATAGCTGGAAGCTTTTGTTTCGTCAGACCAAGCGCTTTCTACGAATTCAGAAGAGCAACCTATCTGACGGAACGCCGATTTTGTTTCAAACCGACAGGATAACCACCAAAATAAATGTAAAAAGGCATAACAGAGAGGAAACCTTCGGATGGTAGGAATTTCATTTGTAAACAAGGAAACCTACGGCAGCTGAAAGGATTCGGGGGAAAAGCGAGAAAAGACAAGACAGATTTCTAAGGATTTTAAAGGTAGTGAAATGTTTTTTTGTATATTTATTTCCTAGAACATAAGTAAAGAGCATTATGTATCTGAAACACCTTTTTTTTAAATGAAGGAGGTAGCGATCTCGCGTATTTTTTCATTTCGACTGCATTTCATGTTTAAATAATTCGTTCATGTTAATAGTTAGACAGTGCAGTGTAATTAAAAAAAAAGAATGTATATTTCTTAAACAAAACAAACGATAAATTCTAAATCAGGGAGATTTTGGCGAACGTTTTAGCCATGTTGTCTTCCGCTTTTTGTGCCTTTAAATCGGAGTGTATGTTCATTTTTCTTTAATTCTTTGTCTTCTGAAATCATCGCTCGATTCGAATATTTACCTCTCTATGTCAACATGGCTCCATGCAAAGAACAACTGAACCGAATACGTCATCAGCACAGTCATCGGTTAACATAAAGTTCTAGTGTTGACCAAGGCGTTAATTTCGCTTTCCTCTCTGTAGCAAGACTTTGCAGTTTGGTGTGCATCCTACAAAATTCAGCGAAATGATTCAAGTTCGTCGATTGCTAACCCTTTTCAATTGTCTTCGTCGTTAGTTACTCTGGTTTCTTCTTAACTTATCACAGTGACTGTCTTTCAAAAATTGTTCTTTCCTGTTGAACTTTCAAGTCGGCAAAGGTCTTGTATCTCGTAAGAAATACTGAAAAACGAGCTTTTAGCGTAAACAGTTTGCCGTTTTCCTGCTTTAGATCTGGAAGCTATTATTATTAATATAATGAAAGGAAACATTTTGTATTTGATTTTGAGCGCTTCCCTGTTAGAGCATGGAAATCGATTTCTCAATCATTTTAAAAAGAGAAAGAAATCTTGAGATATATTAATTATACTGAGCTTTAAAAGTATTGACCTCCTTCGCACTTTTAACGCGTCAAATGATGAAAATAAATTAGGATTGACTTCAATTCAGCCCAGCCGGCTAAGTGGTTTAGAAATTCAAGTGTAATGGCAAACCTGAGGATACAAGATGTACGTCTAAACACAATATGAAACATTTTCCTGCGTCTTTGTGTTTGATAGGAGACCTCGAACGCGCAAAAGCAACCGCAATTTAACGCGGGGGCAGCCCAGTTTCCCCCCGCGTAGTATACTGAAAAATTTTTTGAAAGCAATGTTCCTGTGAAAGAACCTTTTCTTTGAAATAGGTTGGAAATAATCGCAAGTATAGTTGCAGCGATGTAATGAATCACGATGACTTGTTTTGATAGCGATGTACAGGATGAGTTTGTTCCATCGCTCGTTACGACGACAAAGACGAGGAAAGTGTCGACTGAAGTGATATTTCTCGGGCACAAGCCTTATAAATATTTGTGTGAAGGTCATTGTCTTCGTGAAAGAGTTTTGTTTCCAAAATAAGAAGCACTTTAAAGTTGATTGACGAGCGAAAAAATTTATAGGATTGCCATAGCATGTTTAGTGAGCTAAACACAGGAAGAAGTTCCATTGCAAAGCCCAGTGTTTTTTACCGTCAGGCGAAAACACTGTGCATTGCAATGGAATCTCGCTAAGTTGAAGCCTTTCGACCTCAAATGGCGCAAAGTTCGGAATGACCAACTTTAAACTTACCAGCAAAACATTGCGATGTTTATCAATCATATGCAGATTCCTCGCCGCCTATCCACACTGACCGCCATTGTGTATAGAAACCGATTTCTTCGGAGATTAAATTGCTCTGAAATGATTTAAAACAGTAAAAAAGACTTTAAACGCGACCATTTTATTTTAATGGTACAATAGTCCCTTTCCTTGCATTTAGGATTGGCCTAAAGCACCACACTACCTGAAAGCTTGAGTGATGTGTTCGGCGCGCAACACGGCGATAAATTCAGGTTAACTCTAAATAAGACTCTACGCGCGAAATGTCAATTTTGAGCACCAAGCATATGGCTAAGATATGATCAATATATTTACGGACTTTGATAAAACGTTTTTTAAGTGTCCACGAAACAGCTAATTTTTCATGCCTTGATTTGAGTGTGTTAACAATTTTACTTTACATTTTCCATTTCGGTTATGTAAATTCTGTTTTCAAAGGCCATTTTGTATTCTTTAAGGCCGTCTAGAGCGGAACTCGCACTAGCAATAGACCGCGTGCCTTTTTGTTCCATATCGACGTACATCCACAACACGCAGAATGTGAGTTATTTTTTACCGGAATATTTTTATTTACATGTAAGTAAGTTAAACTTGTGCTCGCGTCAAATGTTTTGGCGCGAGCACACGTGTTCAAATGGTGAAGTGAAACTATTGTCACCTTAATAAGTAGTATACTTTTGCAATTGTTTGGTTAATTTGGTCCATCCTAGGAATATCATTGTCTAGACTGTGCACTGCTTCCGAGAACTGACTGAGTAAGGAACGTGGAGGCTAAACTAAAACCATTTATGACTTGGTCGCCAGCGTTTTCCCGCGCTTCAGGCAATTTGGTTATTTTTGCTTTGACTTATCATTGGCGCTTAAAGTTCAAGTATTTTCCCTGCTTTCTTTGGATTGGCTGTTGTGATTACTTTGGTGTATCGAAACTCAATCAAAAAGCGCTCAAACACAACACTACTCTCTCATCCAATCAGAGGCAAAACTAAAAAAAACCAATCGTGATTTGGTCGCCCACGTTTCCCCGCGCTTCAGGCAGTTGGATTGTTCTTACTTTGAGTTCTCATTGGGCCTGAAAGTTATTTCCCTCCTTTAATTGGATTGGCTGTTGTGATTACTTTGTTTTATAGACCCTAAATCAAAAAGCGCTCATGACAAAATTAACTGAAGGAAAATCTTGAAAAAAAATTTTGACGAAGTTTACTGCAGACTCTATATATACATATTCATCTGCCAGACTGACATTGGGTGTCGTAAAAACATTTGGGCCAAAGTAATCACACCAGCAAATCCGAACGATGGAAAATATCACAAATGGCCAGTGAGAATTCACATGAGGGAATAAAAAAGCAAGCTGCTCATAGCGCGGTTAAAACAGAGGTGAACCAGTCAGTAAAAAAAATACTCTCTTGATTGTTTTTTCCTTTGTAGAAAGAACTTCGACAGGACTTTGGATTAAGACAATGTCTTCTCCTTCGAAACAAAACTACTGCACGTTGCCTGCTAAGAAATCAGCTCTTAAAGAAACTGTAGACCTCCTTCGTAGGCAGGCGAAGATGCAAAGGATGAAAGTTTCCAGAACAGCTGAAGAAATAATGAACTATTGCCTAGAAAATGCACAGGACGATTGTCTTCTCCAAGGGATTCCCGCGGGCGGAAACCCGTACAAGGAAGGGAAAAATTGTCCAGTAATGTAGACTCTTGCTCACTCAAATAAAAAATTGAAGATTCATGGTATGGAGCAATTTTCAATTGAGCGTTTAGTGACTAGACCACGATTGCAGTTGTTCATTTGTTTGCTTTACACTCTGGTTGTTTTAGAAAACTATTACGTTTCTCCATGACCAATTGGATACACGTGCATACTCAGTCACTGTGATGTCTTAAGAATTTTTAATGCTCTCAGTTAGTTTGCTCTTTTTACTTTAAGTTTTCACTAGTTCTCTAAGTATTTACTTGCGAGTATTTCTTTAAATACTTTGGTCCTGGTTTTACCACATTCAGTAAATAGAAAATTGCTCCATCTCATGTTAACAATTTACAAATGGGTCGATTTGTTTATCATTACTTTTGTTTCTTACCAGAAGGAAAAAAAGACTTATGCCACGTCAAGAGTGAGAAAATCTCTAACGAGGAGGTCAAATTATATAGGCTTCATCACATAAATAAAGGTATTCTATATGGAAAATTTTTTCTGCGAAAGCCACACGAATTTTTGGCAACATAGAAACAAAACCTTTCCAATCCAAAGCCTGTATCACAGTTACAAAACAAAAGACATGTTGTAACAGGACCATACAATCCAATCACATTAACCACTACCAATAACGCTATTACAAGTTTTCCATCAAGTAACCTGGGAGCGTATGAATTCAAAAGAATGGATTAAATCACTGAATGAATCTTAATAAAAGGCGAAGCTGTAACCACTGATATTCTCTGGAGTTCATCCCAGTTTCACTCAAAGCAGGTCTCCTTCCTCCTGCCCC